GCAGAATTATGCAAAACTCTTTACTCTCCCCAGGGGAAGGATAGAAAACAGCAAGATGGGCCTTAGATCTTAGCCTGGGCTGACTTGCCAGCCAAGCAGAGATTACCATGGATTCCAAGTCCACAATATTTGAACTTAAATCCAAGCTCTAACATCTCTCAACTGGGTCGCACCATCAACCAGGACATCCTTTGTGTTGTAATTTTCCTATCTGTAAAATGGGCTGATACTAGAACCTTCAGGGATGTTATGCTGCAAGCATAATTCGTAGTAAACACTCAATGAACATTATGTGCTATTGTTATTTCCAGCATCACCACCATCACCACTGCTCTAGGAAACCTCCAAGTCTTGCTTTCCTTGTAGGGTCTGGCTGCTCTTATCTGATTCCAAAGGTTACTTAGATGAGCCAGATGAGCCATATTCTTCAGCTCCCAGCCATTCTCTGATCAGGACTCCTGAGCTTCACTTTGGATGGTGGAAGTCCCGTTAGATGGGAGTTTGTTATACAGAAACTTGTTCCTGCCTCTGTCTAGGCCTGGATTCACTATGGATGCTTAATGGCCACATCCCTTAGAGCACATTTGAATGACATTTGTTCAGAATTGCTCTGTGACCTATGCTGGAGTTCTGAGTCCAGTGAAGCCCTTTGAAACAGGTCACACATAAAAATTCTTTTGAATAACATATTCCGTCAGCAGCATGGGCAAGTGCCTTTCTCCTCACAATTGACATACAGACGTCTCCAGCAGTTAGGTCTGGTTTTAACCAATGTTATTTATTGTGGCTGAAGTCACCATCATATTTTTAAGCCAATAGTAAGCTCTAGCTGCTCCACTTTCCTTCCCTTGTTCATCTTCTATTGATCTAAGCTAATCACTTAATTAGCCCAGACAAGAAGACTTCTGTGGTGTTAAATAACTCTGCGACCCTACTGGAGAGGCTCCAATGGCCGGATTGTATTTAACTCACAGCTCATTTCCTCCAGAGTAAAATATGTTAAATGCAGGTCCTGAATTCTCTAATGAAATGCTTCTATTTGGTTTTGGTGGGGGCTGGCATCCATTTATACTGCTGGTTTTCAGGATATGGGTTCTGACCTACCAGAACCAACATCAAAAAAAAAAAAAAAAAAAAAAAAAAAAAAGCACTGCTCTTCCTGGAGTGGAAGTGTGCATGGAAGGCTAAAGGGAAAGGCTTGTTCTCAGGGTTCTGCTTGTTTGTGTAATAGGGCTAGTATCAGGTGCTGTGCTTTGTGGCATCTGTATTTGTTTGCTTTCTGTTGCTGTGATAAAACACTCTGATCCAAAGCATCCCGGGGAGGAAAGGGTAATTTCATCTTACACTTTCAGGTCATAGCTTATCATTGAGAGGAGTCAAGGCAGGAACTCAAAGCTGGAGCTTGAAGTAGACACTGAAGCAGAGAAAATGGAGGAGCATTGCTCACTGGCTTGCTCCCAGGCTCATATTCAGTCATCTTTCTTATGTATTGCCTACAGTGGGTTGGGCCCTGCTGTATCTATTCACAATCAAGAAAATGTCCACAGACATTTGCACGGGTCACACATATGGAGGCAAGTCTTAAACTTAAGTTCTCTCTTCCCAGTTATGTCAAATTCACCACCCAGATTAGCTGTCTCAGAATCCACCTTGTTTTAGAAGACAGGGTCTTTTACTTGGACCAAAGGCTTGCTAATTAGACCTAGCTGACTAGTGAGTCCCAGAGGTCTGCTTGTCTATGTTTCCTCAGTTGTAGCCATTACAGGTGGGTGCACACATGCCTGCCTGTCTTTTTAATGTGGATTCTGAGGATCAAGCTCTAACACTTGACCAGCTGAGTCACCCCCAACTGCAGTTGGGGAACTTCAGTTCTGACATGAACTCTTGGTGAATCAGACCAAGTCTGCAGCATGACATCACAGCTGTCATGATGCTTCTCGAGCTCACAAACTCATTTTTTGTGATCTAGCTTCTGGCAAAGACAAGAACGTGAGCAAAGAGGGGAGCAAGGAGAAAAGGAGGCTGCAAGGAGAATTTAAAAAGAGACTGAGTGTTCAGAGTTCTCTCAATGCTGCCATAATGTGAGAAAGTTGGAGGGCAATGGGGGAGCAGCCCAGGAAAGCCTCAAAAATTCTCAGAAGATTCCCACAGGAAAGGCATGCTGTGGATACTTAGTAAATGCACTTGGTACTGACAAAGACGGAACCTAAGCTCAGAGTTAACTTTAAGCATTTAGGGATGCCATTGAGCCTGGCTAATGAGAGAAAGTGAAGAGTTCTCTCATGGGAGATGCCCTGTGCCTCCTTCTCCTCCATTGTGAGAAACGGCTTAGTTTAGGGGAAAGAGGGCAGCTTCTCAAGAAGACCATGCATTCTTATCATGTAACTTCAAGCAAGCCACAAACTCGCTAAGCCTCAGCCTCCTTGACTATACAAAGAGGATCTTTGGTTCCTGTGGATGGGTTTGCTGAATCCTGAATGTCACACATCTCCTAGTTGGGGGTATATGGTAGATGCTGAATCCACTTTAAAGAAAAGAGAAAGGAAGTAGATTTGCTTTGTGATGCTTGTTTGAACTTAGGTTTTGGCAATTTCTATCATAATGCCTGTCACGATGATATTCTGAAGGGTGTGTATATAATATGACAAGGAGGAAGGCATGATGTGACAGACAAGACCAGATTCCAATACCTCTCCCAAACTGCAGGACCTGCTCTACTGAAACAAGGCCTATTCTTCTCAGGAGCCTTATCTTTGCAGTTCAAACTAAACCAGAGTCTCTTGACACCACCTGGAACAAAACATAGCCAGCAAGATAGCTTCTAAACAACAGGCAGTCCTTCTCGTATTTCTGGAGGTATGAAATCAGAGATCCAGGTGCTCAAAGATTGTGTGTTCAGTGAAGTCCCACTTGTGGTTCATAGATGGTACCAGGTGCTCTCGGGGTGTGATGAGGGCGGGCAGCCCTATGGGTCATCGCTGTAAGAGATATGTTTTCATGATCAAACCCTTCCCAAAGGTCCCGACTCTGCCTGACCCTATCCCACTGTTTCAATTTATGGATGGGGGTTAGGGGGCATAAAAACACAGTTTCACAGCAGACCAGAAGAGACTCATCGAAAAATAGGCAGACATAACGGAACAATGCAGTGCTTTGATAGCACAGACAACATGGAAAATCAACCCAGGAATTGCAGTAGGATTCAGCTCGTGATCCGTGTGACTAAGTGCTTATTCATGGAGTGCTTCAGAGCCAGTGGGTGTAGAACAGAATTAGCTGCAGAGGCAAGAGTCGGCTTTCAAGTCCTGTTGCTACAAAAGCCGGAGTGACACATTTGAGCTCTATGATAGAGGAATGATTTTTTTATAGGGCTTTTGTTTGACTGACCAATCAGCAATCCTCCAGCTGGGGGATTTCTGGATATGTTCCCCATTCCCTCTAGTTCCCTAGCATTTTATGTACTGAGCACATCCTGTTCAGATTACAGAGCATCTAAGATCCAGCTAAGGAAAGAGCTTTGATGCCCAGGCTTGGGGGCAGAAGAGGCAGTGCCAGTTGGGGTCAGTGACTAGTCACTGTTTTGCAAAGACGTAGAGCAAGATTTTAAACAAGATGCACTGAGTCTATTATTCAAGATCAGAAACAGTCCAGTACTGAACACCCTAAGTAGTAGGTTGAATGGAAGGCTTTAAAAGATAAATCCCTTTCAGATTCCTGGAATTGGTGAGTGGACCCTTATGTGCGACAGGGACTTTGTAGATGGAAGCAAGTGAAGGTACACTCATGATGGTACCAAATATCCAAGTGGCTGTAAGTCCAAGACAGGTATTCTAAGCCATGAACATGCAGGGAATCAGGAGAAGTGTAAGAAAATTGGCAGTGTGCAAACAGCAGCAGTACGAGACAGCCACAGAACAAGACTTTACCAACAGCCAGATTTGGGACAATTGTTGTCTAAGATTGTGTGTGGGAATAATCTATGGTTTAAGTCACCTAGGTTCTGTAGTCACAGGATACTAAGGCACTGGAAGTGGCCAAGGCACTGTGTGTCTGTGATGATGTCAGGCTGTGAGTGGCTAATAAGCCAAAGGAAATTTGTATTGAAAAGAAAAATCCTATTTTCAAACATTCCTTGCCATGCTACCATTCACCTTTGTTGACTAACTCCCTTCTCTGAGATTTCAGAGCCAAGATTCACTTTCATAATTTTCTACTTAAAGAATTTATCAAGTTGGATAAGGGCACAATTTCTGAATAGGACTGAATATTTTCCCTGCTCCTTCCCCTTTACTCCCAGGATTGTGTGCAGGGCTGAGAGACAGCTCCATCAGTAAAATGCCTGTCACACAAGCATGAGGACCTAAGTTTGATCCCATAACCCATGCTAAAAGTGGGGCATTATAATCTGTGCCTATAACCAAGCACTTGGAAAGGTAGAGACAGGTGAGACCCTGGGTTTTGCTGGCTGTCCTGCCTAACATAGTCAGTGAGACCCTGTCTCAAAAAACATGATGGACAGCTGGTAATATGGCTCATCAGGTAGAAGTCCTTGCTGCTAATCCTGACAGACAACCAAAGTTTCATCCCCTGGACCCACAAAGTGGAAGGAGAGATGGCTCCTGAACACATCACACACACACACACACACACACACACACACACACACACACACACGATAGATGGAGGATGGATAGATATATAGATGATAGATAAGAAAGAAAAAAATTCAAAACCACAAAACAATGCAAGATATGTGAGCAGTGCATTGTACTCGCTTGTTTCCCACAATGACTTTGGCCATCTTGAACTCTTCCAACTTTGCTTTTGTGCCCTGGCAGCAGGAGGAACATCAGCCAATGACATTCTCTAAATCTCATCTCTACTCTAACTTTTGGCTCACTGGAAGCATTCTAGCTCCAAGAAAGCAACTTCTTCAGTTATACCTTTTGGAGGCCCCAAAATATCAATTTTTAAGTCAGCCAGCCAGCAACACCAGGTAAATATTTTAGCTACCACTTTATTTTCATCCAGGCTAAGGGACAGTTTGGAAAAGGTCCTATTCTAAGTATGTAACTGAGAAACTATGGCAGGGTGTCTATGCTACTGCTTGTGAAGTTGGTCTGTCAGTCATTGTGATTGAAACATAACCCCAGTGGCTTCCACAAGTACAATAAAATGCTTTGCAAAAGGCTGCAGAATCGTGGGATGTAATAAAGTCTGCTCAGCACTTCATTTCCAATGCTGCAGAGTCCAGAAGAGCGAGGCACATTTCCTTATGCCTTGGGATTTGTTTGAGTTACTTTCATGCCTGGAAATGACAGAACATAAAAACAGACATTTAGTTAGAACCGGTAGCATTTCTTTTGAGGCATAGCAATAAACAAAATATAAGTTTGTTTACTGTTAATCTGTTAGATTGCTGTTAACATTTTATGGGAGATGATATTGATGTGTGGGAGAGCTACGTGAAATAAATGATTTCAGACCTTTTGATGCCTACACTTACTCTCAGGGTTCATGCATTTTCTTTGCCCTTTGCCCATCACCCACATCACTAAAGGTCAGCAGAATAGACTCTTAAGTTTACACAATACCAATTCCAACCTTATATACGGAGAAAACCAATTCAGACTTGTATGTACTATGTGAGAAGGGCATGCCAAAAATTACCATTGACCAAACTCTGCTGAGCTTAAAAACACAGATTCCTGGACTCTGTCCCCATATTCTGATTCATCAAATCTGTAGAGAGGCCAGGAATCTGTTTCAAAACAAACAAGCTTTCCATGTGAAAGAGAGGAGTCTGGCACCTGGATTTGGGAATCTAAAGCACCTTGTAGCTAGCTGGCAGATACAGCTTTACACGCTATCTTAAGGATACTTGTGAAGCCTCAAACATTCCTACTCACAAGGTTAAACTCCCCATCGCTGTCCTGTTTTATCTAGCAAGAAGATAAGAAATTTCCTGGGGTGGTGGGGGTAGTTTATATCTAAATCCAGGTGACCATGAAAATACAATACAAAGCTCTGTCCCTGCCTTCATTGTTGCAGCCTTAACCCCTCTAAACTTCGATTCCTGGCCTCAGTAAAATGGGTGTGGCCAGCAACTGCATGGCAGGGCTCAATGGCCAGGAGCAGAGTCACCACCAGAAGGAAAGTGAAGTGGGAGGGGGAAAGAAAGGAAGACTCTATGAATTTTATTTCTTAAAATTTGGGGAAAGGTGCTAGAACTGGATAGCCACTGTGGATGTGACAAATGAAGAGATTTTGAGAAACACTGTCATGAATTACAGATTCTCAAGTGTTTTCTCTTTTTAAATTCTTGTATGTATGTATGTATGTATGTATGTATGTATGTATGTATGTATGTGCAATTGTATGTTGCACATGCACGCAAGTTCCTGGGGAGGGCAGGAGAGGGCGTTGGATCTTGTGGTGCTTGGGTTACAGACAGTTAAGAGTAGTCTATGTGGGTACTGGGAACTGAGACCCTCTGGAAGAACAGCAAGTGCTCATCCCTTCTGAGTGACAGCTGCAGCCCCTCCCTCAATGTTTTCAGTAGATTCCAGAATAGAATTAAGCTGCCTTTCACGTCTGGTTTACCATTTGTGGATTTTAGTGCAGCACGAAAGATACAGACCCATGGCCTTGGGTGTGAAGAGCTAGCTCCCTGTTTATTTCAAGGGTGTGTTTAAGATTATCTTGGTCTATTCAAACCCACCTTGGTAAGGACACAAACATTGATCTTTGGCATATAGGGAAGAACTTTCATGAGTCTAGAAACCCATTTCCTGCAAGTTGGTAAAAAAAGTCAGAGAGCACAGGTTGGGGCAGTTCTGTGTAATGATATGTAGTCTCTGTGGGATCATGACACAGAGGCAGAGTCACTCCTAACATGGACCACTCTGGGCTTTCCTCTGAACCCAGAGCTGTATCAAAAAAGATGGTGGGAAAGCCAGGTATTGGAAACAGCTAACTTGTTCTCCAGAGAAGAGCCCCATCTTACTCTCACATGACCCTGGGACCATTTGCTGCTGTTCCTAGCACTGCTTGCCTTGTCTGGAGATATGGGTCATCTCCTGAACATTCATCATAGACTTCATCCTTGAACAATTATTGACTTTGAGTCAGAGGCACCCGTGCAGGCCTGAAAATGGATGTGCCCTCTCTTTTCTTCTGCCTTGCCTGTCTAGGGCAGATTTATGTCCTAGAAGTTTCTATCAGTTTTATTTTTGAACATCGTGGTCATGTTAGTTCCACTGCCTCCCTTTTTCAGTCCAACTCTGTATTCTCTGGCTCTCCTATAGCCCTTTCTCCACAACAGGCTCTGTCAGACCGATATCACTGTTCTATAACTCAGCCTTCACACAGCCTCAACACCCACAGGTGTTATAAATGTGTATACCCACAGTGTATAAAGGGAAGGTGCAGCCTACAGAGCACAATTGCCCTTCCCCTCTTCACAGTAGTGGTGCCACATGGCTGCCTATTGGTTTTACCTAGAGAGACGGAAACATTCCTGTGCTGTGCCCCTTCTGACTGATCTAGAGTATGCAGAAACTGTGGAAGAGAATCACTAGACTTGAGAGTGACATGGTCCTCTGCCTCACATAAACGATTGGGGCCTTTGCTGCATTTGCAGGCAGTGGTCCTTGCCAATGACGATTAATGATACGATATGGTCTGCTTGGCTTTCTTACCAGGGCTGAGACAAAAATGATTTGTTATCATCTATGTGTGCATATGTGCATGTGTGTGCACACACAGAGAACAGAAGTCACTTTCCTTCCATCTCATTTTTTGAGGCAGGGTCACTCATTGAAGTTGAATCTCAGCAATTCCCTTAATTCTGACTGTCCAGGGAGCCACCCAGGTGTCCCCTGATCTGTTCCTCCCATCTCCACTACACCCAGATTTCTCTATGAGTACTGGGAATCCAACTCGGGTCCAGATGCTTTAATGGCAAGTACTGACCGAACCATCCCCCCTCCCAAGGCCAGAAGTAGTTTTTAAATTAGAGTACGCTATTTATCAATAACAGCCCTGAGAGACTCACACAAACACCTTCTCTTTAAAAGGCTCTTCTTCTAAAATCTTAGTTCCTAGCAGACTAGTGAGGCAGGCAGAGCAGCCACAGAAAGGCATTCTGTTCACACCGAAACAAGGTGAGCAATTTTCTAAGGGCAGGCCCCTTGACCTCTCTTCCTCAGCTTTTTCTTAATAAACTGGCCTTAAAAATTGTAGCAAAAAGCCGCTGATGGCAATGTGTTAAAGTAGGTGGGTAAAGGAAAAGCTGATGGAGAGATGCCAGGGTTCAGAGAGCTGCTCTGATTAGTATCTCTGAGAGAGTACAATTACATTTCCATCGAGAGATAGTAAGGGTTCACTGCTAGAAACCCAGCAGCATGAGGGTGAAAGCCAAGCATGCAACCAGACTCCAAATTACTCCTCTGTCCTAGCATGCTTCATGTGCTGATTTATAGGACAACTTCCTGAGAAGACCCAGGGCTAATTAACTTCCCAATCACCAGGGTCCATTTCCCAGTCTGCAGGGTCATAAGAAACAGAAGGCAGCCCTGGACCCCTCAGGGTCAAACCTCTCAGGAAGTAGGGTGGAGAAAATTGTTTTCTGGAAAGGCAGGAGCTCACCCACCTCTGCTTAGGCAGTGACCATGGACTTTAAGAATCAAACTCTAAGAATTGTAAACACACAAGCAAACCAACCTGAAAGCCTCCATCTCTGAGCTATATCATCTGGAATCCCCAGGCTTGTCTCCTCTGCAAAGGCATTGGCTCTGAGCATAATAGTGGGCTTAGGAAGCAGAACAGGCTGGGAAAGGCCAAGCACAGCTTGGGCACTTCCTGTTACTACTATAGATAGGCACCAAGGAGCTGTCTGCTACTGAATATTTCTACCCCTATTCCTTTCCCCATGTCTGCATGTCTGCCGCATGCCCAGCAGGGACTGTCCCTAAAAGACCCATCTTTTTGCTTGTCTCCAGATTTTCTGCTGATATTTCACTTCTCTCCAATCTGGTCAAAATGAAAGAGGGACTACTTTCTATCACTTGTATCTTGCAGGAAATAAACTAATTTTGTGAAATTCCTCACAATGGGAAATACTTTCAGGCTCTGTAAATGGGCAAAGAGGAAGCTGAAAGGCACACAAGCTCTGCCATTTCCTGTTTTTGATGGCTTGCTCTGGTGTTACTTTTAGAGGGTGACCTTCTTCCAGCACATTCTCTAGCTCTAACTCTCTGTCTTCTGCTATAATAGCGTTTAGAGACAAGCATGGAACAGACGACCTTTGATAATTAATGGCTCTGAGAGTTTGCTGAGCATGTCATCTAATTAGTGGTACTTGTGTCTGGAGTGTATACAACTCTGAAGCTGGACAGAAGGCACATTGGCTGAGACTGTGGGTGCCCACTCAAGAATCACCACACAGTTTATAAGATTTCAGCACTATCAGCTGACTAATAGGTTAAAGATTTTTTTCCTTCTTCAACATTTAAAAGAACTGGTGTTGATGAAATTATGTCTTTTTTCCTCATGAGTTCAGATTTTAATGCAAACAAATTCTCTGACCAATGGGTGAAAGACTTAGTCAGGACAGTCCAACAAAATCAAGAGAGGAACTTTAAATGCTCCATGTCGAGCATGAGGCAGGAGGTCAGGTAAGTTCTGAGCTACCTCAGTCATTCACAAGTCAGCCAGACTAAGTTACAATTTAATCCATCTTGGAACCAAAAGCCAAAGGGGTGAGGGGGCTGGAGAGATTGCTCCGTGGTTAAGAATGCTTGTGGATCTTGTAAGCAACCTAAGTTCTGTTCTCACCATCCACACTTATAACCACCAATAACTCCAGATCCAGGGCATCCAACTACTCTGGCCTCTGAGGTCACATCCCCACAGTTAAATTTTCTTTCTTTCTTTTTTTTTTTTAAGAAAATGTTTAATCTAAACAAGATGAAGGGTTGAAAACCAGAATAAAAAACATGGGTGAAGCATGAGCAGAGACTTTTTCACACTTGCATTTCCTGACAATCTAGTATCTGAACTCTAGACCAAAGGCTGTAAGACAAAAATAAAAATGCAACCATCTTTAAGCTTCTCAGTAGGGACATTAAAGATGGTGGTGCTATTCCTAGGAGAGATAATTGCTTTCTTTTGGGGACCCAAGGGTTATTTTCCTCCAGGACCCCATCACTACAACAGGGATACAAAAGTTCAAGTAAACATTCCCTGTACCAATCTAGGAGCCCATCTATAGAGAAAGAGACAAGGTCCAGAGGTGGCATTATGCCT